GGAAACAATTGACTTGATGAAATAGGATGTTCTACAGTCCAGTTTACAGGGCAGTGAAATAGGTCAGGGATCTTTCCTCTGGTTTCCCCTTGTTTTTCCCTTAGCACATATTCCTTCTCTGTACAAAGCCAAGAGGTTCCAAGAGGCCGATGTGCATTTTCTCTCTGAGTGCTAATAAAAATATTTATAAATTTGGTTTGCATTGTATATTGCTGTTTTATTCATAAAAAATTTAGAATCTAGGTAAACTAAATCAAAAATGCTGCTTTTGCACTCTGCAGTATTTGGGCCTAGAAGTGGTCATGATTGTGAACATTACGCTGGCTTCAAACCTTTAAAAATTAATGTGGCCTCTACTGCAAACGTCATGTGGATGCCTCAATAAACGGTAGGTGGAACGTATAGTACTTCAGTGACTCTGTTTGGTGTAGCACATTCAGGGATGGTTGCCATTAGATAAGGAGTTTGGCTCTGAATACAGGCCCGTCTGCTGTATTTAAGGGATTTTTGTAACAGTGACTGGAGTAGATGCCCAAAATGATCCCTGAAGTGGAGTAACCAAAGGACCCACTTCTAAAATTGGCTTTTAAGTGCCCTTTAGGGCATGGGGTCATGGTATTTAAAGCTCTGGAATGACTCCCCATAAATATGAATCAAGCATTGATTTTTTAGTATGGTGTTTAAAATTCTGTGATCAGAGGTACAGCAGGGAAAAGTTGGTTATTTTTTAAAATTCCTTGGCTTTTTAGGGAAAGTCATTTACTTTTTATCTTTCATACAGAAAGGTAAAGAAAGAGAACCCTTGGTTTTTAGGCCAGCTGGGTCCGTGCTGTAGTGAAATGGAACAGGAAGCAATCAAATTTGATTACTATACAGGTCTAGGGTAGACACGTCTCTCCTTGCCAGGGGGTAAGGGAGATATGTATAAATATTAACCCTCCCCCGCATAGTGGAAATTCAGAGAAGAGATAAATGAGTGTAGCTGAGCTTTGAAAAATAAACTTAATGAGGGGGAGGAGGATATAGCTCAGAGGTAGAGTGTGTGCTTAGTATGCACAAGGTCCTGGGTTCAATCCCCAGTACCTCCACTAAAAATAATAACTAAATAAACCTAATTGCCTCCGCCCTAAAAAATAAAAATAAATAAAATTAAAAAAAAAAAGAAAAAGAAACTCAATGAAAGATATTAAGTGGGGCCTGAGTGGCTAAAATTTGGATGGGTAAAAAGTGGTAACAATAAAAAAGAATATATATATATACATACATACATACATATATATGTGTAACTGAATCACTATGCTGTACACCAGAAACTAACACAACATTGTAAATCACCTATACTTCAATTTAAAAAAAGTAGTAGTAAAACAATTCAGGTGAGGAAACAATAAAAACTATGCTTTGTAGACTTGACTTAAAGGTTTCATAAACTTGAATGTTTTAGGGAATATGCATGGAACTTACTTAAAAATAAAACGAGTCTTTGCAATTGATACCAGTATCTTCTCTAGGCAAATATCCCTTACATATATGTACAACTTTGTGTGACATCATTTATATAACTTTAGAATATATGTGTGATATATATAAAAAGAGAGAATTTTAAAATTCTTTTCAGTTTTGTCCCATGACAATATTGGTTATTTCATGTAGTAGCTAAAAAAAATAAAATAACATTTAAAAAAAACCTAGGATGGGCCCCCAAATCTTAATTCTTTGACTGACTTGAAAGACTTTGAAAAATCCCCGACTTTATTAAATTACTGGTGTTTTGCAGGCGGAAGAGCCAGTAACATGTGGGTCTGAGTGGTAAGAGAATCTGCAGTGGGCCCTGGAGGTGGGCTCTTCTGAGTCCTTCTGGGCCCTGCTGTTGGCTAGTTGTCCCTTCTCAGGAAAGTTTTTTTTTTTTTAACCTCCTTGAGGGGTCATTTTCTTATCTACAAGATGAGAAAACAGTATCTCCCTGAAGATTGAATGAGAGAAATATATGTAGTGATCTGCCTAATGCACGATCTGTGATTGGCACATAATAAATATTTATTCCTTTCCCTACGTTTTCTGTACCTTAGGAGAGGATCAAGGGTTCCCTACCTAAAAATCCATTTTCCACTGGTTTATATTTCTATTAGCTAGCATAATCTCATTCTCTATTTCTTTCATCATCGTGATTTCATTAGCATATTCAATTTCCCCTATTATTTATAACTACATTATAATTTTTATAATCCTTACAAGTTATTTTTGCTCCAGTGCCTCTTTGCACTGTCATAAAATATATTTTCTCCATTGCTGAGTGGTTTCTTCAATTATTCTCAGTTACATATAAAAGCAATCACATACCCTCCTATGATTTATCTTTTTATGGCCCTCACAGAGCATATTTTTTTTTTTTTAGGTTTGTAATGGCTTTGCTTGAGTCTGAAGTGTTCACGGCCTCTAGACCAACTAGACCAACCAGAGGCTTGTTCTTATTGTTGCCTGGTCTGTGGCTTCTCTTGTAAAACCCTCGCTACAAAATCCTTGACGAGAATCTCAGCTCTCCCATACTCAGCTCCAACTTTCCATCTTGTGCCTTGAAATTAGACTGTCTAATCTTCATGTGGCCCCAGTTCCTGTGACTTCTGTGGGCATGAATCAGGAAGCGTTTGCCTGGCACTCACAACAGAGAAAAATCTATGATGCTATGTCATTTGCTGGCTAAAGTTGTTCCTGAAAGAAAAACACGTTTTGCATTAACCAGCTTTTCCTTACCATTGCTACTTTTCTTTAAGGCAGGGTTGAGGTTTAATATATATATTAATATATATTATATATATCTATTTGTTTAAAGCCATTTTACATGTCAAATTCTGTGCTAGAAAGGGTCATGTCCGTGTTCAAATGTCTTCTTGACGCCATAGATATCTGTTCTTGATATTATTCACACTTACAGGAATGATTGAAATCTACATGATAAATGAGGTGATTTTTTAGAAGGAGCAGTTTCATTTGTTTATTGCCATAAGGAGTCTTCGGGGACCTGAGAATTGGCAGGAGGTTGAGAGGTCACCAGGCTCTTCCTTCCATCCAGGGAAGGAGTCTTCTTAGTGTCAGGCAGGGGCTGGTCAACATGACTTCAGCACTGCCGCTGGGAGGATGCTGCTCTGAGGCCCCATTCCACTTCTGGCAACTCCTTAGCTGAGAGTTCTGTCTTAATGAGCTGATGCTCCCTCTGCACCTTGACAGTTGTTTTGGGTAGGCATAGATCCATTTGATGTTTTCTGCTGTTGGAGAGAACTTTTTTATTAAGAAGCACTTTCCAACAAGAAAACTGATATTAAGTAGGCTTGCATATATTTGGGATTCATGAGCAGGAAAACTGGGAAGCTAGCTGTTGTGTGTGCTTTTTAATTTTTTCTAATTGAAATATAGTTAGTTACAATGTGTCGATTTCTGGTGTTGAACAGCATAATGTTTCAGTCACACATTTACGTACATATATTTGTCTTCGTATTCTTTTTCATTATAGATTACTACAAGATATTGAATATAGTTCCCTGTGCTATACAGAAGAAATTTGTTTTTTAATCAGTTTTTATAGACAATTGTTAATACTTGCAAATCTCGAACTCACAATTTACCCCTCCTCATACAGTTTCCCCCTGATAACTATAAGATTGTTTACTATGTCTGTGTGTCTGTTTCTGTTTTGTAGATGAATTCATTAGTGTCTTCTTTTTTCTTTTTTCAGATTCCACATATGAGTGATATCATGTGGTACTTTTCTTTCTCTTTCTGGCTTACTTCATTTAGAATAATGATGTCCAGATCCATCCATGTTGCTGCAAATGGCATTATTTTATTCTTTTTTATGGCTGAGCCTAGCTGTTTGTTTTGATGTAAGGATGAACTTCAATTTTCTTCTGGCAGAGCTCATGCTGGTCTTTGCTTCCGAGTCCCGTATCTGCCTCCACCCTCAGACTCAATCTTTCAGTGGTTCAGAAAATTGAGCGACTCACAGCAACTTTAAAAGACCATTAATATTTCCAGATCTATGATGAATTCAAGGCAGCCAGTCTTTTAAGAAAGACCCCTCTTGCTGGGTGTAAGAAAGCACACTTCCCCAACTCATTTTGTTGAAAGGCAGGATTAAGACTTTGCTGGAAAAGAAACTGATCTACTATGTGCTGGCGAGTATTTATGACCCCCAGTGCACTTTATCTTTCCCAATAATAATGCAAGCATACGAAGAGCCAAATCCTGCCAGGTTTTAAAAAATTACATTTCATTCATGCCCAGGTATAACCTCCCACCATAAATCCTGGAAACTGTGGAGGACGGCAGTGACAGGCCATTCTAGTGCATAATGAGAGATGCATATTTCAGTGCTGGGACTGATGTTTATGTATGTGATTACTTTGAAGAGATTTTATTTAACGCACCATGTCTTTAAATTGTCTCTGTTTTAAATGTAATCATAAGGGCTACAGTTTATTGTATGCATGCCAGGAAGTTTATAAATGGTAACTCTAATCTCCCCAGTCCTGTGAGGTAAGTTTTATTCTTTCTGCTAATCCTCTGGGGAAACTAAAACCCAGAAACTTCAAGACCTAGCCCGAAGTCACATTCAATAAGTGTATTACCACCTTGGACTGATTTGTTGCAAAGCCCACATTCTTCCTCCTGCATTCTGTACTTCAGCTCATCTTTGGCAAGGAATTTGTTTTTAGGCACTCATTTGTTTGGCCTTTCTGTGTTTTGGCAGAGCGGGGTTTCTCCGTGCCTATAGAGTAACATATGAAGGTAGAAGAATCCTCTTTTATCTTCCAATATTATAGTTCTATGAACCACAGAATCTCACTTAAATCCTATTAAATCTGATACAAAATAGAACTAGAGAGACAACAGAAAAGAGAGAGATGATGAGTTCATTGAATCTCACTCTTTTTTAACAGATACCGCCAGGCTCATATATTCCATTGCTAATTTTGTGAGGATTGTTGTTCTGAATGACTTCAATAATTTCTGCTGCTCTATTAAAAGTCCTCTTTTACATTTGATGGCCTAATAAAGAATAAACTCTGATCTCTTCCTTGTGTTACTTGGAAGTTTATATGAAAGTATGATCCCAGATGGGATAGTTCTGTCTGCACCACAACATCTGCGTAAGACCGACTTCACCATCAAACCCATTCCATCCACACACTTTCTAAATCAACATCAGCATTTATGAGCAACTCTTCAAATCTCTTGTTTGTATGCATATCATTTTAGTGCAGTTTATTTGAAACACCCCGTAGAATGTTCTTTCATGCTCATTTCCGTAAAGCATGAAAAGAATTGGCAAGTGACAAGTAATTCTCTGTCAAACATATGACTGTTTCATTTAGAATATAGAAGACAAAGATGCTCATTTACCAGTGGCCTCAGGCCATGGCCCAGAAACACATCAGGCAGGAGACAGAGATAGGCACGCAAATTTTTTTTATCCATGTGAAAATATGTATTTCCAAGAAAGCAGTGATCCATAACTCAGCAAGAGATACTTCATTCATAGAATATCAGCAAGGCTCACTGAGGACTTCCCCATGGTGTTTGCCTACTTAGTTCTCATAGGGTTCTTCTATCTGGATTCTGGATTCAGCCTTCCTCTGGGATCACGGTGGTGCTGTTTTGGCACACACAGTGGCGGCAGGAAACTCTCCAGTCTGCCCACTGCCCCACCGTGCACAGAGCCCTGAGGTCGTGTGGACTTGGACTGGGGTTCCTGCAAGTTAAACCCAAGTTCAAGTCCAGCTCTGACACCTTCAGACATGCGACCTTGGGCTCAGGTCTTCCTGGTGAAAAGGCACCCTCACTCTGTCCCCCTGACCTCCTAGGGTTGATGGGGGCTGCTGAGATGATGAATGGGAACATTAGAACTCCATACACATGTAAGCTCGTTTCAGATGTGCCTCAAAGCCCTTGGCATCTTTGCACAAACTTTCCTTTGTCTCTTCAGTGAGACTTCACTTTCTGACCTTGATTTCAAGGTCATGAGGACATCCTTAACTTAGAGTCACCATCTTCTTTGACCTCACTCCTTCTCTTCCTTGAGTTAAGGGACCTC